AAATGGATGAGAGTCATGTTTCACAAAACACTTTCATAAACTAAAACTCACCTGGTAAACCATTCTCCAGAATTTTCCACTCTTGAATTCGCTTCACCGACTCCTTTGGATGCAATCAATAAGAAGTGCAAAGATCAAATTATTTGGATGCCGACGAATTTAGCATGACACAGTATAAACAAGAATACAAAATGCAATCTTACCTTCTCTCCCGGCGAGGCCATATTGTTGTAATGATGGTCTGAGAAGACGTCCACAACATCAAAATGTTTGATACTTTCAAAATCCGGCACTTTGTGTTCATCATTTCCTTCTTTCGGATCAGACCCTGAGTCTCCAAGGACCATTACAGAACTGGTAGAAGCATACTTCAGTCCACCATTAGCCAGATAAGAGGAAATTGAGGCACCCTGGGACGAATTCCCATTTAGAACTGAAGCAGGGTCTTCAAACCATACAATTTCACTCTCTTCCGGAGTAAGACTCAAACTATCAAAAAGGGATTGCACAAACAAGTAATCATATTCGTTTAATAATCCACTATTGTCACCAAAATCAGAAACATCATCAGTGTAGTCATCATAATCCCCATCATTGTCGAACTCGGAACCTTTCTCCGACTCTACTAATTAAGAGTATTACTGAGTTCAGTGGTTGAATCATCCTGTAAAAAAGGGGGAAGTAAATTCAATTCAAGGCAAGTTGATTATAGATAAAGTAAGTTTAATACTCTTCGTCTGTGCCGGTTTCCTCGGAAACAATCAAAGCCGTTGCCAGAATTTCAACTTGTTCAGTATCCATTGCATCACAAATAACCTAAACAACAAGATTGTTTACTCAGCAAAATGGATTACCGATTCAAAATAATTGTAAGATTCAAATAATATGTATGTATGTATATATATATTTCTTTAAATGTACACTCCAAGTCGTTTGCCGGTGATTGGGGAAGAATTTTCCAAGCAACCAAACAGAGACTTAAAAGAATCCTTTATGATAATACTCTTAAGAATTACATGAGAAGCTGATTTAGTAAAATAGACATTATCGAGCAAGAAACACAGAATTTCTATTAAAAGCCGAAAATCAAATCAAACAATAGATTCATCAAGTACAGCAACATAAAACTCATGTAGAGGTACGAATATTAAGGCTAACAACTGAATGCTTCAAAAATAGTTTTAAGATTCAGATTTCTCAAAATGCAGAGCCCTAGTCATTTACCGGTAAGATAATTTTCCAAGCAACCAAACAGACTTTAAGAATCCTTCACGAATTCATGAGTATAACAGGCAGTGACAAACAAGAGAAAACAAAACAGATTTCCGATAAAAATATTAAAAGCAATAGAAGCATCCGATCAAAACAACAAAATCTACCTCATCCAATCAAAAAACACTAACAATCAAACGACAATGCATACAGAGCATGGTTTTATTCTAAAGAAAAAGAGAGAACAAGAATAATAAACCTCGTTTAGAGATCAAAGTGTTGAGTGATCAAACTTCTACAAAAATGATTTTCTTTTTGGAGATAAACTCTAACGAAAATTTTGGGGCGAGATGTACGACGTGATGGGATGATTATCACCTATACATATATTTGAAAAATAATAAATAAAAATGATTTATTTTGCAAAAATATATATTTTTATTTTTATTTCACTAATGAGTGCCATTTTATCATAGGCACCAGAGGTGAGATAAGTTCGGTCGGGTTTTGTATACCCATATTATCTAGATTTTCAATAAATTATATCAAATAAGTATTTAAAGTATATTATTTTTTTATTTAAGTAATTAAAATATTTTTTTTGTTAAAATAAATATCTAAAATTATTTTTAATTAAAAAGGATATCTATAGTAATTTTTTAGTCAAAATAGATATATCATATATTTAATTTTTTTATCTAAGGGGATGTTTGATAGAATAAAATGATTAAGCGTTGAATGATTCAATGACCTGAATGATTCAAAGGCTCTATATAAATTGGCTCTGAATGTGACATGCTGTTTGATAATGATTCTGAATGTACAATCTGAATTATGACTATTTTCATTTTTACCTTCATAATGATTTATTATATTATAAGATATGATTGTTTAATAAGACAACATGTGAAAAAATAGATATTATGGTAAAATACCGGGTGCTTAATGATTCAGAATGTACTTTAATGCTGAATCATTCAGCAGTGCTTTGTTGTTTCATTCAGCATAGTCTTCATTCAGAGGTGAGAATCCAGCGCTGAACGGTTTCATTCTGCAGTAAACAAACGGCCCTTAAGAACCTGAAGTATTCTTTAACCAATATCACATGTCAACTTTTTTTAAACTTAGATGAAAAAGTTTGAATATTAGGTATTTATTTTGTCATAAAATATTTTAAGTACATATTTTGACTAAAAATATAACTTTAAATACTTATTTTAACCTAAAAATATTTTAGGTGCTTAAATGGAAAAAAATATATTTTAGGCACTTATTTGTGATAGAAACCTATTGAATCAAGTTTGTATGAATCAAAATTTTACGGGCTCTGACCCATGTCATCCTTAATTAGACCAGTCTAATAACAATTGTAAAATGTGATCTGTCACAGGATCTCAAAATTTAGGAGTCTTACATATGAATGTCATTTAAGCCCATATATATATATAATATTTGTGTCATAAAGATATTTAGGTTTGAATGAAAAAATAAAATTTCTATTTGATTCTCGAGAAAATAAAGAGAAAATTGTAAAAGAAGATTTTGATAATATCTTTAACTGTTTTATAATAAATTTTAGTTAAAAGCCTCATAAATCTCTCATTATTTAAAATTTGATAAATTAATTTTTATTATAAAATATTTGTAAACCTCATTTTAAAAACTAACACTTATCTCCGCATCATTTAATACACATCATTTAAGACAATGCTGCCCTTAATCTTTTAACTCACGTGTTTTTCTTTTGTATCCTAGGTATGTCTAGGGATGGCAATGGGTCGGGTCGGGTCGGGTCGGGTTTTTGGGCCACCCGACCCGACCCGAGAAGAAAAGGTTTTTCACCCGTGACCCGACCCGACCAGACGAAATTAAGGTTTCATCCGACCCGACCCGACCCGAATATATGACTTAGAAACCCGACCCGACCCGACCCGAAATAATAATAAAAAAATTTTATTCAATGAAAACAGTGACTTAATTGAAAAAAAATTATATATGGAGGGACATTATTGTAATTATCCCTAAATATATAGGATAAAATTATATATATTTTTCAGGTCGGGTCGGGTCGGATTTTTTTCACCCTAAACCCGACCCGACCCGACCCGAACAGAACATTTAAAAAACCCCGACCCGACCCGAACCCGAATTTTTTTTTTTAAAAATCCGACCCGATCGGGTCGGGTAGGGTCGAAACCCGTCGAATTCGGGTTGAGTTGCCATCCCTAGGTATGTCTGTAAAATAACTAATAACTAATATTAAGATTTGATTTTTAGTTAACTTTTATTTATATGATTTCAAGATAAATTTAAAATATATATTGGTTTCGTATGTTTGATGTAATTATTAAACAAAATCATTACTTTATAAAAAAATTCTTATATTCTTTCCGTTCGAGAATCGATTTTAAATTAATGTCTTTCTCTAGCTATCCTTTTTAACCTGATTTTTTCCTTTTAATATTTTTGTTTCGTCTTCTTCTCTTCTTTTGTTCTTTTTTTTAGCCGACGATAACACTAATCTTAATATTGATCGTCGATCACCAGTGATTATTATTTTCTTATTATTTTTCATATTATGTTTTTTTTTTTTACTTTTTTCACTTTTAAATAAAAATCTTTGTCATTGTGACACGCTTTTATCTGGTCTCGTGGCACGTTTCTTATGATTTTCGGTAAATTTTTCATATGCTTCTGCGGTCGTGTTAGTGCTTTCACAAAGATCCTCACGACATTTATTTTCTGATTGACTTGTCGGTGGGCACGTATTGTCAAATCCCCTCTTTTGTAAATGGTCGTTTGCTGATATAATCAGAATTGTGTAGCGAAATAGTCTGTCAAATTGTTTAGTTTACTCACCACTCTTTTATCACATCATAAAGCGTCTCGTTGAATAAAGACAATGAGTTTTATGAAGGTTATTGGATTGTTTTGATGTTTGTAAGATTTCATTCTCTTCGTATCTTTGTGTTTAATATTTTTATTTTATGTATGAGTCTTTGGTGACTATTGTCTCCAATTTTCTCTTTAGATGCGTTGCAATTTGGATTCTTCCATTTTTATTAATGAAATGCAATTGTCGTTGTTAAAAAAAATGATATCTTTGTTGACGTATCATTTTAATGATAAATCAAAGCACGGATCAAGCGATCATTAATAAATGAATTGTTGTTATTTCGTAAGGTCTCAAGTTCGAGCGTTATGAATGTCAGGGATATGAATGCTCAATATTAAAAGGTTGTGATTTGTCTTTGAACAAATAATATATTGTATTTAACTCATATTAATCAATAATAACAATAGTAATAAAATTAAAATTTTAAGTACTAAAACGGACCAAAACCGATAGTTTAGGTACTAAATGCGTTAAGTTGTTTACGAAGAGGTACTAAAATAAAACAAAAACTAAACAATATGTATGATTGTGAAGAAATTAAAAATTAAAAAGGACTAAAACTGATAGTTTAGGTACTAAGTGCATAATTTACAGCTAAATTGCAAGTTATTAAATGTTTCATATCATAATCTAGTTAGTTGTTGAAGTATCGGTTAAAACTGTTTATCAATTTGAAGAAGAAAAAAAGTTTCTCCAATTCATGCAATAATTTGAGGAAAATACCAACTTCAGGTACCAATTTATATGATAATCCAAAAATCTATAATAGTCCCAAAAACTAACTAATGAAACAGAAGACAGCACAGAAACACACGATTCTGCTAAATCTGGTCCCTTTCAATTCAATTACCCATGAAGTAACAGACTTCGATCATGCTTTACAATGAAGAAAGATATATGCTGGTAGGTCGAATTATCTAAAAAAAGAAAGGGAAAAAGAACCAAACAATGTCTTAAAACGAACCAACTTTCCCAGATTTTTTTTTTCAATTTGATCCCTCGCCGTTATTGTTCCTCACAAGAGCAAAATAACCCAAAACGGCACAAACAGCCGCCACAAAGTTGCCTTCTTTCAGCAAGGTCTTGAAAACAGACCCGGCGATCTCTCTCGTGATCTTCTTCCCTTCGACCACCAGCGCCCTCTTCGGTTTCCCGAAGAAAGCGAGCAAGACGACCACCGTTATCCACGTCACCAAGGTGGCGGGCACCGTTACGGCCAGAGCCGCCGCCATGGATAGCAACCCGAAAACCCCTCCGAGGAGGACGGATGCGTAAACGGCGGGCCATCCGTTGGGTTCTCGGGCTTGGTTTTGGTTTTGGTACCAAGACAGGGTTGATTTGAGGAAGCTCCATGAGGAATCTAAAAGGACGGCGTAAACGAACACGAAGAGGAACACCCATGTTCTTCTTTTGCTCATAATCTTCAGAAACACTGGGTACGATGATGTGGTCGGAGATTGTTCTTCATGTTCCCGCTCCATGTTTTTCTTCTTCTTCTTTCCCGATTTGCTTGAGCTTTGATTTGAGGTGATTTTGGATCGTTTTGTTCTTTGCTGCGTTGAAAAGGCTGAGATTTTAGAAGGATCAAATTATGGTTTTGGTCCCTCTGTTAATAAATATTAAATTTATTAGATTAAAAATAGATAAAAATTAGTATTAACTTGAACTCATTAATTAATTTAATAGTTAAAAATAATATTAATATTTTTATAAATTTTAAACTACGTCTGTAATATATATTTATTTAATGACTAAGAGACCTTATAAATAAATATTCTCTGGTACCCAAGACAATTAAAAAAAGTTAAAAAAATTCTAATGGCGGCGGCAATTTATTGGTCCATGTTGTGAATGTGCTTGAAAAGCCGTTAAATAATTTGGATGCTTCAAATAAACGTATGTCTTGGTGGAGAAAAGACAGCTGTGTTTCAAAGGTTTTAATATTCTAAGGACTATTTTTGGAATATAACGAATTGAATTTGGACCTGTCCCATAAATCTTTTATTGGCATCTTGATTTGGGTTTAATTTACGAATCGATGCTTCAGCTGAACATTTTTAGAATGACATAATGTAAACAAATATCCTTAATATTTGACAGTATATATAAATTTGTTATTATTTTTTTGGAACATTTGACCCCACAACTGATTCAAAAGTCTCCCTGGATGTAAACCGTCAGTCAACTGACGGTCAACGGCTCCAACTGACTAAACAAGCATAGGTGGACATCAATGATGTCATAGCGTGTCCACGCCACTAATATATGCTGACGTGGAATTGACACGTCAGCCTTTTTTTTGTGCGAAATTTAAAGAAAGAGAATGCAAAACCTAGAAGACAAATTAGAAGTTGTTCCCTTACTTTTACTGCTCAAATGAATAGTGTGTTGTTGGAAGAGAGTGAAAGTGAAAGTGTTCAAAGCAAAGTGAAAGAGATTGTAAGTGTGCAAAGTGAAGACATTAACAATGAATTAAAGGAAAAGATTAAGAGCTTGAAGGAAAAAATCTAAAACAATGAAGAAAGAAAAAAAAATTATAAGACAATGTGTATTTGCTCAACGGTGTGTGTATATGTATCTTTGTGGTAATTGTATTTGCAATAACACTTTAGGTGTTTTGTTAAAGATTAAGTGTTTATGTATGTCTAATATTAAGTGTTGGATTGTTACTTCTTGAGAAGAAATGACTATGTCTAATATTAAGTGTTTGACCGGTTAATTTGTTAAAGAAATGACTATGCGTTGTGTTTTTTATTCTCTTGGCTAGTTAATTTGAAAATTTTATTTTCTTCATATATATATATATATATATATATATATATAACTTACCTTCACATTTTTCTTATTTCCAAAATGTTCTTAGGGCACAATGAACACTAATATGCTTAAACCGAATAAACTAAAAAAATTGGATTGACCTAATCGAAAAAGCTAGGAAAGAAATGTGATAATCTTAAGGGGCGGACCCTTGCATCAATAACATTTCACATGCAAATATTACTGCTAAAATGTATCTCATATGAAGTTAGGCAGATATTTGCTATACAAAAAAACACAACCCAAACATATACCCTAACAAAAGCAGCACAACCAAAAGACCCATTCGATCAGACAATTCTTTTCTTCTTTTTTGGTGCTATTGATTCTTGAGTGCCCATAGGATCCTCAACGCCTTTTCTCTTCTTTGGTGCACTTGTACCAGACTAATAACATATCAGAAAATTAAAAGATTATTTAAGTTGTCGAAGAAAAGAATGTTACTTATTTAATATGTTCTTACATAGAATGTATGTTCTCCAGTCCTCAAATTTGTGTAAAGGTCTATCCCTTCGTATATTTTTTTCCTAATTGATTTATCAGAAGTAACACAAGCCTTTTCCTTCTCCTTTCCTTTCCTTGATACGTGTGTTGGATTTGATACGATCGTACTTGCTAATCTTGTCGAAGAATTCCCATCTGACCTAATCAAACTCCCAAGGTCATCACTGTCATAGTAATCAGTATCATTCCTGCCTACATCTTCTGTAACTCCATTATTTCCTCCCCCATCTACTTCCTAACAGGTTCCTCGACGGAGCAACGAGTTCTGCTGATTTGATGTTTGGTTTTTTGGATGGAAACAACGAAAATTTTACAAATTTCATCGATCGTAACGAAAATGAATGAGGTTGAAATTGAAAAAAACATGTTTTTTCTGGGAAACTCAAGAACAGATTCTTCTGGTAATATAAATAGTTGTGTCTTAATTAGTAAATGTCTAAATATACCTCATTCTTGTATTCTTTGAAATTTGGAATTTAATTCATATATTTGTATAATTCAAAAATTGAAGCCGAAACAATATTTTGAAACTGGAATAATATTATTGTTAATTGATTTTCGTTAAATTTGAATACCAAACTGTTTGATAATAAATTGTGATATATTTAAATTTAACTATAAGTGTAGATAAATTTTGAAAAGTTCGAAGAGTATAGGGACTTTTATATAAATAAGCCTTATTTTGTGGTTTAATGTTCTTGTAGGCCACTGGCCACGTTGTATGGTACTAGTTCATTAGAAACGAGGAGCATTGAGTGAATTAGACTTGATCGGAGTTCAATGCGGTTGTCGGAGACAAGTAGCCGGTGGTTGCCGGAACTGCTTGCAAAGGGAACTCTCTATTCGTCTCCAGAACAAGGGTTTCAATTGTTACCTATGCAAATCCAAGTGGAAAAGCTCCGTCAAAATCCCCACCGGAGAACACACGTACTTAGAGGTGCTAAAGAAATCATCGAACGCTAAAAAGTAAGATAAAAGGGTCGTAATTGAGTTGAATTTTAAAGCGGAATTCGAAATGGGTAAAGCCAACGAAAGCTACAACAAGCTGATTGGCCGCTTGCTGGAATTATTCGTCGCAAAGGCCGAGAGGCTCAAGGCGCTGATCAAGATCTTGTGTTCCGCGGCGAAAAAAATGCATGAAGGAGAAGAAGCTGCACTTGGCGCTGTGGAGGAAGCAGAAGTACATGCAAGCCAAGTGGTTGGGGTCGTACGTAAGAAAGATGCCGGCTGCGGCGGCGCCGTTGCCGGTGGGATATTCAGACCGACCACAAATTCCCAAGGTTTCGATGCTTACGTTTGATCTACGAGTGAACTTGCCTGGCTTGCATTACGCCGGCGCCTTTGAAGTCGTTTTCTGAATTTTTAGGTTAATTAGATATCGCATTTAAAATTATTAGTTTTGGACAATTTTTATTTTTTAACTCTTTTAATAAGATTGCATTTTATGATGGTTGGCTGAAATATGCTCTAAGTCCCTGAACTCTTTGTAAATTTGGATTCTAGTCCTCTGGTATTTATTTAGAAATTTAAGCTCTCATATTTTCTACTTACACAATACTTGATAGTGAGCATCTAGCTCCTCATATTGCATAAAGGATGAAAAGTCGAAAGAGTTGAAGCCACATAGATTGCATTAACTGATACTTGGGCAGTAACAAGAGCAACTGTCCCTGAAAACCATCTAAACAAAACTTCCATCCCAACAATTACGATCCAGAATTAGTTATGGCGTGATCGGATATATTGTTATCACAATGACGAGAGAGACGACAGAATACGTTTCAAGCTTTTCCATGCTTCTCGACCCCGTAAAACTACTTCCTTTGCATCTTGAATCTAGACACCGGCTTCGAAGGTTTTGAATGAGAAGACTGCAGAGGACATAAATTTTGCAATGAGGATTTGAAGTTGGTGAATGTACTACTACATCGCTACATACAAAAATGTCCAAGCACAATACCTGTGTGTCAACACACCTTTTCGTCCTACTAGGATTCAAACTCCTAAAAATATGATAGAATTTTACTAGGATCCAAACTCCTAAAAATAGGATAGAATTGTACTATGATTTAAACTCCTAAAGATAGGATCCACAAGCACTATAAATAGCCATTGTAACTCACTATTGTAACAGAGGATTTACAGACAAAATACAGAGGAAAGCACAGAAAATACAAAGACAAAAATATTGTAAACGATTTGAAAAATAAATAAAAGGTAACATTTTTTTTTGATTCGTTCATTTCTCGCAATGTCCACGTTATTTTTCTTGAGATTTGGTTCGAATAATCCAAAACGTGGGTTGCGCCGACGACCAAAAATGGGTGGGGTTTCGAAGTTTCGAACCTAGATCTACCCCGAGGCGTGTTCATTTTTTATCCCCCTAATGCGCAATATCGACGTTAATTGTCTTCAAATTTAGCCACAATCTTTATTTTTCTTTATATTAGTCCTTTTATTTATTGTATATATATATATTTATTTATTTTTTATTTACATTATTGTCATTATATAAATATATATACGTATGTTTTTTTAAATGATTTTCAATTGATTTTTTTACACTATATATTATTATTATATATACATATTTTTTATTTATTTATATTCATTTGGTTATTTTTTAATACTATATTTATTATATATATATATACTTTTTTTTAAATATTTTATTTATAAGCGTATTATTACTATATATATATATATTGTAATTATCTTTATTTAGTTTTTTTTACTTTATCATTATACGTATATATGTATGTTTTTAATAGTTTATTAATAAGCCAATTATCATTATATGTATACTTTTATATTTGGTTTATATATTTATTTATTTTTGTTTTTGGTTTTTTTATTTGTTTATATTATATTATATTTTCATATTTCTATCATTATTGTTATGATTATTATTTTTCTATTTTACTCATTTATATATATATATATATATTAATATTTCATTTATTTATTTATTTATTTTTCCTTTTATTTTATTTATTTTACTTATTTTTATTCTTCATTTTTTTCATTTATTCATTTTTTCCCTCTAACACATCTTATGACTTTTAAGGGTATTTTCGTCAATTAATCAGAGGTAAGTAATTCATGATCAAATTTTACCTTTTAATTTAAAATTACAATTTTCTTAATTACGACAACTGGAAATTACGTAGTACCGAAATGGCAGTTCAAGAGTGCTAATACTTCCTTGACCGTAACCGA